TTTCTTCCTTTCTTCCTTTCTTCCTTTCTTTCTTTCCTTCCTTCCTTCTAGGCAATTGGGGCTATATGACTTGCCCAGGGTCACACAGCTAGTATGTGTCAAGTATCTGGTCTGAGGCTGAATTTGAACTCAGGTCCTCCTGACTTCAGGGCCAGTACTCTATCCACTGTGCCACCTAGCTGCCACCCAATTTCTTCTTTTAACAATGACATTTTCCCCTCTCAGATACTTCAGTATATCTTTGGTCCGCCATGATCTTTCTGTTGTTGTTGATTTTGAATTTTAATACAAGAAGATAAGAAAAGATCATTTTCATGTATGCAGCATAACATGAAGAAAGGATTCAATATAAAACCATACATTTCCATTTCAGATTATTTAGTTTAAAAAAAAAACATGTAATACATACTACACATTGTTTTCAAAGCTACCCAGCTTTCCTGTGTCGTCTAGTTTTCTTTCCTTCTCTACCATGTACTTTTTATATTTTTCTCCATCCCTCCCCACCCTGCACTAAAGAAGGTTACAATTAAATATACATACATATGTCTATGTGTGTGTATAGTGTGTATTATATATGTGTATGTAAAACCATACTGTATCTACTTCTATTTATCAGTTCTTTCTTCGGAGATAGATATTATCTTTCTTCATAGGACCTTTGTAATTGGTTTGAGTATTAATGATGCTCAAGATGAGTTAGTCATCCAAAGTTGTTCTTAGGACAATATTTCCATTGTTATCTACAGTGTTCTATTGGTTTTGCTCATTTCTCTTTTCGTTATTTCATGCAAGTCTTTCCATGACTTTCTAAAATCAACCAACTTATCATTTCTCATAGTGCAGTAGTATTCCTTCATAATTATACACCACAACTCGTTTAGCCATTCCCCAACTGAAGGCATCTATTATGTTAGCCAACCTGATGGCAGTAAGGTGATATCTCAAAGTTGTTTTAATTTGCATTTCTCTAATCAATAATGATTTATAGCATTTTTATATGACTAGATATAGTTTTGATTTCTTCATCAAAAAGCTTCCTGTTCATATCCTTTGACCATTTACCCACTGAGGAATAACTTGTGTTCTTATAAATTTCACTAAGTTCTTTATATATTTGAGAAATGAGATCTTTATCTGAGAGACTGTCTATAAAAAATTATTTCCCCAAAATTTTTGCTTTCCTTCTAATCTTGGCTACATTGGTTTTATTTGTACAAGAACCTTTTAATTTAATGTAATCAAAAGTATCCATTTTATACATCACAATACTCGCTATCTCTTGTTTATTCATAAATTGTTCTCCTATCCATAAGTTCGATAGGTAATATGTTCCATGTTCTTCTAATTTTCTTGTGATTTCTCCCTTTATATCTAGGTCGTGTATCCATTGTCATTAAATCTTACATTTATCCTCTTTGAAATCTGCTTTCCCAATATCTGTGACCAGATTATTTCTGACTTTCTGTTTCTTTCCTATCATAAATTTTAAAATGGAGTGACCGCTCTAGGACCCCCTAACCCGAACAATGTTTCCATTATTTTCACTCCAATAACCATTCTTTGTCTCTGTCTCTCTGTCTCTCTGTCTCTCTGTCTCTCTGTCTCTCTCTCTCTTTGGTGGGGCTGGGAGGGCAGAGGGAGGGAAAAGAATCAGGTCCAGGATAGGATTTCCTCATTGTTGGACCCTTCAAAGGATGACACTGTTATCATTAAATTAAAAAATTGTTAGCTAAAGGGAGAGCTATAGCAGATTCCAAATAATTAAAGTCCTCTGGGTCACTCTTCTAGATAATCTTCATCATACTGTTATAAATATTCTCTTTCTAAGTGAAGAAAAAAGGAGCAAAAAAGACCATTTGGGAAAGTTCCAACTTCAATTCCAAGATCGCTTCTTGACCTCTAGACCTAGTGAACAATAGAAGAGCTGTTGGCTCTGATCTGGGTTCCTCACTACCCCAAGTTTTTAGGGGCTCAACACTTTTTTTTTTGGTATCTATAGTGCTGGGTATCAAGGATTCTTAGGTCCCCATTCTCACTTACTGAAACCATGATATTCCTAGTGATAAAACCATTACCTGAAGTTCTTTCACTAGAAATATGGTCTGAATCACCTTCTCATACAGTCAGCCTGTTTCCTCTTATGGAAAAAGGCACACAATAATAATAATAATAATAATAATAATAATAATAATAATAATAATAATAACACATGATATCATTATGAAGACCAAATGTGATAACATAAATAAAATGCTTTGCAAATCCTGACTCCAAATTTATCACATTACCGAACCTATTTGATTTTGAACAATCAACAATGTGATCACATCCCAACAGCTGAATCTGAAATTAATCCACATCTGTCCTTTAAGCTCAGTACTGTCCAACCTCTTCCCCTTTACATTTGATCTCTCTAGCAGAAGCTTTCATTACAAGGGCAGGTACATTCCTCACAGAGACAGATACAGAGCCAGAAATGACAGGGTTGGGAAGTACAGAAGAGAAGAAAGGGCCCCCTTCCCTGGGATCAAATTTCCTTAAGTGCATTTTATTTGTCAGAACCATGTCCAAAAAACTCAGCCTTCCGGACTCAAATTGGCCTTGAGTCTCCCAACCAGATCCCTCCTTCTACTTGTGCTGACCACCTGGGTGCAGAACCAGCCTGATTTGTTAGGAAGCATACTGGATGGAGAACTAGGAAGTATATGTTCAAATTTTGGCTCAGAATCTGGGTAGCCTTGGGCAAGTCAAGTCACTTGACTTGACATCTGGACCTCAGTTTCCTCAACTGTACCTAATGCAGGCCTGAGATTGACCAGTGACAGCCCAGTCCTCTGTTACATATAGAATGAAAGTGTTGGGCCAGATGAACTTTACAATCTCTTCTAGTTATAAATTATATAATACCTCTTTTCTAGACTAGCTGGCATTTATCTAGTGCTTTGAGTTTTGAAAATGCTTTTCAAATATTAACTTTTTTTTTAATCTCTGTGGTCCTAGGCCACTCCTTTCTTGACCTGTGTAACCCTGTCTTGATCTCTGTTGACCTTTAGGCTTTAACTTATCTCCAGTCCTCAGAGTTGATGGTCTAAGGTTGTCAGTCCTTCATTCTTGAAGAGGCCCAGTGATATCAGGAGGGTGATGTCTTGACTTGCAAGTGAACTGGATTTAAGTAAGGCAGAGCTGAGCAAACTCATCAGCCTCACTCTCCATCAGAGTCATTTGAGTCCAATGGCAAGACCTAGATCAGGATGACTGGTGATAGCCCTTAATACAGTGAGAGATCTTGGCCTTTTTAAGCTAAGGTCTTTCCTAGGTTTGTCTGTCTGAGGCAGCACCCATTCAGTAATTAAAGGCTAGGTAAGAACTGAGGCAAAAGATGTCCTAGTTTGCCTTCCCAAGTTTATAGAAAGCTGGACCTGGAGTCAGGAAGGTCTGATCTGACACTTACTAGCTGCATGATCCTGAGTAAGTGCCCTGCACATGTTCTGCATAATCTTTTTCTTTATTTATACCATCTTATATGCCTGGAATGTCTTTTCTTTATATCCCTCATTTGTGCCCCTTGCAATTCTCCCCATCCTTTAAGGCCCTGCTTAAATGCCATCTCTCCCAGGAAGCCATCCTTGGTGTTCCATTCAGGAGCCATCCTTTCTCCAGCACTACAATTCCCAAAGTACCTGGTGCATACCCTTCTTTTGCATTTGCCATTTGTAATTTTCTATTACAGTTATCTGACTATATATCATATCCCTCAATTAGATTCTGAGCTCGAAGGAGGCAGGGACAGAGCTTTATTTCATCCTTGCATGTCCTCCAGTTATTAGTACTTCGATTCTTACTGAATGTTTGTGAGAATCAAAAACATGCCTTTCTATGCTTTGTCTGAGCATCTTTACCTTTGATCATACCCAGGCATTGCTTGAGAATAGTAGTGGGGGCAGAAAGTGGCAATATGGACATATGTAGCTTTGGGGGCTAGCTAACAGGCAAGAGGACCAGTGGACTTTTTTTGCACATCTCTGTACCCATAACTTTTCAACACCCTGTCATACTAATGGGCTTAATTCAACTTAATCTCCTTCTTTAACAAAGTATGGTTGCTGAGGTCCTAAACCAGTCTTTCATAATAACTTGGTAGAGTGGGAGATACCATGGTGTTGAGAAGTAATGTCAAACTGTAATAGAAACCTCTGCCTGCCACATACTGACTTAGAAAACCACAATATAACATTATCTATATTATATCTGTATTTATTTTTGCTAAACATTTCCCAGTTATGTTTTAATCTGGTGCAGATTACACTAGTTTGACTTCTCTGTTATGGAGGAAAGGATGTCTAATTTGGGTGTCCTGAGACCTCGGTTCTAGTTCCCTCTCTGCTACTAACTAGCTGGGTGACTTTAGTCATAATGGTGACCATTCTGGGTCTCGTTTTCCTCATCTATAAACTTAGATCATTGGATTATTTATCCTGTGAAGTTTGGATGCAGTCAAAGGGCTGAACTTGAGGACCTAAAGGGCCACATGTGGCCTTGAGGCTGAAGTCCCCTCCCCCATATTAGCTCATCCCTTAGGTTGATATTAGTGGTAACTTTCATTTTCCTGACTCCCAAGGCCAGTGCTGTATCCACTGCACCACCTAGCTGCCCCATAACTTTCATTTTCTATGGAAAAGCAACCACTGTATTTAAACATACATCTCTCCTTTCCTCCCCAACATCTTTACCTCTCCCAGATGTGTAGACTAAGAAGACAGTGTGTAACTTTCCTCCATATTCCCCTGTACTTAATTCTCAAGCTTCAGTTAGTGTGGACAAGACAAATGTGACAGAACTGAAAAGAGAGCTAAAGTGCTGTTAACAGTGGTCAGGGGCTCTGAGTGCTTTAGCCCTAGTTCATTATAAAATCAGTAGCAGCTGGGAGCTGGCTCTTTACATACACCTACACACACTCTCCATCTTTAGTGATCAAGAAGGTATATATGTGCATACTATATTAAGGAGATGGATTCTAACTCCTTATGTAGTAAAAAATTGGGAATAGCATACTTTGGAGAAGAGACATCTGAGGAGTAGGCATGATTCCAGGCTTAAAATATGGAAAGGGTTGTTATAGCCTCATCACCTTAGAGTTGGAAAAGACCTTAATGATTGTCTATATTGATTCCCTTGTTTTTCACAAGTGAGGAAACCAAGGCTTAGGGAGGATTAATGACTTGCTTAAAGTCACACAGATGGTAAGTGAAAGAGCCAGGATTTGGGCCCCATCCTCCCACTCCAGATCCAGAACCCCCTCCCCAAAGCACACTCCATGCCATCGTGTGGAAGTGACACCCAAGTGGTGGGACAAATTTTGTCTTCATATAAGGGAAGGATTGGTAGTAATGAGACCTGTCTAGTGGTGGAATGGGTTGCCTCATGGAGGCGTGAGCGTTCTCTTACTGGAATTCTTCAAAGCTGACTCTTATAGCCTGCTGGTCAGGGATTTTGTTAGCGGGGTGGGCAAGATGCCTTTAAGTTCCTTCCAATTTTGATGGTTCTGATGAACCTCAAACCAACTTTAATCGAGGTGTAATCACAAAGGGAGTGGCGGGTATAGAAGAAGGTAGCTTCGAAAGCATAGCATGCTTGGGAAAAGGATCTCCTCTCTACATTATTTGTATTCATAAATAAACATAAGCATGTATTTTGAAACATGTGCAGCATTGCTATACTTTTCTACCCACCAGCTAGAATCCCCAAAGCAAGACTGGTAGTTTTAAGAGGAGTGGGATATCTGTAGGCAGGTTTGCGCCTGTGTGTCTGTGTCGAGGACGGCAGTGAAAAAACAAGCGTTGGGTCATGAGGGGGTCTTTAGTCCCTAGAAATGGGTGACTTTCTCAGCAGCCAGATTTGTATAACTTTTCTCATCAGGGTTATAGCCAGGAAGATGGTCCTGGCTGTCCTTGAGCCCATTCTTCAGGGCAGATTCAGTTCCTTGTTTCCAGGCAGTATCATTTTCAAGGTTGTCCTAAGGAAAATGAAAGGAAAACATCATGACTTCTCCCTAAATCAGTAATTAGCCATTCTGGCACATAGAAGACACACTATAGGATGAATTCTAGGGGAAAAGTTTGGAACTAAAGGCCATAAACCCAGGAGACCATAAGATCCCAGAAGGGTAGAGGTCAACAGGTTAGGGGTGGGAAAATTCCCCCCTTGAAAACTTAGGAGCTTGACTATATGGCAGAATCAATTAATTCTTCTTAAGGGCTATGAGATACCCTTGGGATAAAAGGAAAGATTGGGCGAATTTTGGAGCATATTTGAACTGAAATCAGCAAATAAATATAACTCCATAATTAGTGTGGGTGAGGAACAGCCCTTGCTAGTACTGAAAATTTGTCTCAGCAGCTAGAATCGCATTTCTGTATTCCAGTCCTTCATCCCCTTCTCTCCCAGTGTGGGCTATATCTTAACTATGTATTTCTTGAAAAAAACCCTTGGACCAGCTCTTGCTTTTCTACTTCTGGAATTCTCCTCTCAGCTTAATCACATGCTTGACTTTGCAGAAGCTAAAGAGAGGACTATCACCTCACTCCAGGAAGAAACAGACATTCCTTCCATAGCTAGTTTGTATACTGGACTGACTCTTCCCCAGCTGCCCCTGGGAATTCTTCTGATGCCACTCACTGAAAAGACAACCTGAATGTAAGTGGTAGACTTCATAGTCATGAAAAACCAACTCACAAGAATTGTCTCACTGTCGTGTTGAACTCCACACCAGCATAACGTCTTGTATTTCTTAGACCAAAAGCAAAACAAATTCCCCACTGGTCGAATCAATTGTGGTTGAATATTTTTGCCTTTCTCTGGACCTGTAAAATATTTCCCAACAGTATTTGTGGCCTGGCATAATGGACAGGAGACCCAGGTGTTATTTTCCGCTCTACCACAAATGCAATGGATGACCTTGGACAAGTACTTCTCCTCTCTGGGAATCTCTTTCCTTTCTCTGTAAAAGAAGTAAGCAGTTGGATCTGAAGGGCCTTTCCCATCCTAACACTATGATTCCCAAGCCAGGCATGCTTGAGAGTATCTTTGGTATTGACACTATCATACTTACAGAAAGAAAACAGTTGGTGACTTGAGAAATAGGCCTTCTCCAAGCATGTTAGATGTTAACCTGGATAGATCTAAATCAATGTTTGATCTGAGCACAAACAGCACCCCCATGAATCAAGTAAACTCTTGACCTAACCAATTAGACAAATAAAGGTAGCTTTGAATAGTGCCCTTAGCATGCTAAGAAGGGGGATGCTTCACACAATCCCTTTCCTTTCAGACAAAAGTTATTTACTTTTCTGCATCATGGTCTCTTTTGGTAGTCTGGTAAAGCCTGTGGACCCTTTCTCTGAATATTGTTTTTTCAAGTGTGTAAAATATATGTAAGATTATAAAGGGAATCAATTATATTGAAATCGTTATCAAAATATTCAAAAAACAAGTTCATGGATCTGAGGTTAAGAACCCCTGATTTAAGAGATTCTTTTTTTTTTAACCCAATTTCTTATATCCTGAATGTTGTCATTACTGTCAGCTATCAGGGCTAGACATTGGACAGAATGATGAATGTAGATGGTCTGGGCCCTCCTTCCTCCGATCCCTTCTCCCTGTATATGTTAGTCATTGCCAGTCATCCTGACATTTGCCTTGCTACTGGATTTCCATGATTCTGGAAAAGAGAGCAAGGCTGAGGACCTTGTGCAACTCTGCCTCACTTAAATCAAATTGACTTGAAAGTCAAGATATCACCCTGTGATGTCATTAGTCCTCTTTGAAATGAAGGGCAAACAACATTAAGATTCCTCCCTTCTCTCCCACCCTATCTCTTTTTTCTGACCCTTATTATATGGTGAAATCTACCTGTCTTACCTCCCATTCCTTTGGGGACATGCTAGGTAATTGACACTAAATTAAGTAATTCAAATGCAGTTGCTAATGGCTGATAAAACCACCTTGGTGTAGTGGGAAAAGCAGAGGATTTAGCAGCAGGGGACCAGGAGTCAAATACTAGCTCCTCTCATTTACTACCTGTGTGATCTTGGGCATATCACTTAACCTTTCCAGGCCTCAGTTTCTTCAGCTGTTAGGTGTTAGGTTCCAATTCCAACTCTAAAACTACGGCCCTACCAGGATTATTATAATAGCTAATGTTTGTACTGCAATTTAAGGTTGGCGATGTGCTTTACATGTATTATCTTATTTGATCCTTAACCCTCAAGGGAAGTGCTAGTATTATCCCCATTTGACAGAAGAAGAAACTGAGGTTAATTAGGTGACTTGCTCACACTCAGCTAACAAGTGTCTGAGACAACTGAACCCAAGTTTTTCTGTTTCCAAGTCCAATCTAGGAAAGTGCTATAGCCCAAAGAGAATAAGGTGGAGTTTTCAGAGACAGGAAGGGGACCAGGGGGGCAGCTTGGCACCTTTTGACCACTACTAAATTCGCATTGTGCACAAGGTCGGCTCTGCCAGAACTAGAACTGATTTTGACTGGAGCCCCAAAAGTTGAATTAATGGTACCAACCTGTTATGAAACTGATAAGACAACCAGCAAGGATGCATCCCAGGCACCCCACAGCACTGTAGTAAAGGTAAGAGAGCGAGTACCATGTCTCAGCCAGGGCTGGTCTGTGAAAATACAAATAGAGTGATGATCATTGGTATGGAGTGCATTTTAAGTAGTGAAGACAGTCTGTGCCAAGGCACAAGACAGAATAATGAGGTTGGGGGACCAAAAATAAAAAAACGAAAATACCAGTAATGTCATCTCTTGCCATGAATCTGGAAGTTTGGTGAGGGAAACAAGAACATGATTCCTGTGAGCTAGAATATCTTTCATGATGAGTTCCTAAGAAAGAAACTGAGCTTAAATAAGGATAAGTCAGAATTTTCCTTTAAAAGAGGAAACAAGTCTTTAATGTAATTGGAAAAAATACTTGTAATTGAAAAAAATAAAAATAAAGGAGGCAGAATGGAATGGTAGAAAGAATACTGGGCTTGAGATTTAGGACACCTGGCCTCTAGGCCTATCTGTGTTCTTTACTAGCTCAAGGATCTTGGGCAAGTTACTGGACCCACTTTTGGGCTCTAATGGTTCTATAATTTAATGGGTGATCACCTATACTTTGGGCTCAGTTTTGGAATGTCATCTGACACTGAGTTGGAAGAGACATTATCATGTCTGTCTTTGTCATACCTCCACCTACCTTCTTCTTTTTCTTGGGGTCTAGATTTAGCTACTTTGCTATAAAGGGCAGAATTGAGTCCACTCCCTGAGAGGAAAATGGCAGAACAGCAAAAACCAAGCTTTGATTGATTGTTCAGGCTCCCACCATCCTTCTAGTTACCCAAGTTGGCAATTCAGAAATCATCCTCATCTTCACTCACCCTTTCTCTACATTTCTAATTGGTTTCCACATATCAGTTCCACCTTAAAGAGTTTCTCATCCCTCTCCTTATATCCACTTACATCTTATATAGCCACCACTCTAATTCAGGTCCTTACCATCTCTTTTCCAGGCTACTGGAATTTCATCCTCTTTGGGCTCCCCCATTTCTGATCCACTATTAATATAGCTACCAATGATCTATTTTTAAAGGAAAGGTCTGACCGTGGAATTCCTGTTCGAAAGTTAACTTTGTTTTACCTATATGATAAAATACCAACTTCTCTATCACTCAAAACCCTTCACAATATGGCTCTAGCATGCCTTTCTAGACTTATTATGCATTCCTCATATTCACATACTTTGCCTTCTGGCCACACTGGCCAGAATGTACTGTTCCCTGTAGGTACACAGCATCCACTCTCTGGGTCTCTGCACAGGCTGCCCCTCATGCCTGAAATGCAGACCTTCTTCTCCTCAGGCACTTAGAAGTTCTAATACCAAGACATCAGAGAAAGTTGCACTTTCTACATGCAGTCCTTTCTGACTTCTCCCTGACCCTCCAGTGCCTAAGCCCTCTTTTCAAGGTTACTCTCTATGTAGTCACTGATAAGTGTATATTTTGCTGTCCCTATTAATTACAGATGAGCTGCAAATCTGCTCGACTCCCAACTCTTTTTCTCTTAACTTTTATCTGTTCTGGGAGGAGGTCAGTTGAGCCTCTTCAGAAAGGTGTGTCATTGACTTTAGAGCTGAAAGGGACAGATGAGGTTAAGTGATGTGCCTAGTTTTACACAGGGAGTAGGTAGCAGGGCTGTATTCAAACCCAGGTCTCTTAATTCCAAATCCAATGCTTTCTTTCCCTCTGTATTCCCTCTCTGCAAGTACATTGTTTTTTGTTTTGTTTTGTTTTGTTTTTGTTTGTTTTACTTACAGCAAAAAATCATTTGGTAGGCAGGACTCTCACAGTACACAATACACCAAGATTACTTGCACCAAGAAAGACAAGAGGTGGCTCCACAAAGTTGGGAAGGAAAGTGTGAGAAATGATCTCTCAGAAGTGAAGCTTCCTCAGGGGATCAATGGTTCTTGTTAATATTTCTTGATTGAAACCCTCCCCGGCTCAGACTCTGTTTTTTTTTAAATGCTTAGCAGAAAGAATAGCCCTGCCCCCAACCTGAACTGGCTGCCCTTTGAAAAGCTTCCCACCCTTTCTTGTCTCTGGGATAAGATGGAAGGGGGTTAGGGAGGGGAAATTGCAGTAAATTTCGGTTTCCTAGGAATTACCTAACTCATGGGAATCCAGCCCTAAACCTCCTCCTGATCACCACACCATTGCTATGACAGCATTAGATTTACTAAATAAGGACATGTATGTTTGGATTGGCTATATCCTGTTTCCTAGTTCTGTGTCTTTGAATTTTCGCTCCTAGAATATAAGCCCCGCCTCCCAGCTAATGGGATAGGAAGTTTTTCTCTCCCTTTTTGTCCTTGGTGCTGGAGAGAAGTTTCTGTGCTTAGACTGTGAGCTCTGAAGCCCAGACAATGCGAAGAAGAGCCAGTGGGCAGACGGAGGATTGCAGTTGGGAACTATATAATCTGCTGAGCTGAACATGCTCCCACTCTCTTCAGTCGGGGCCATCTTTTGGGTGCTCTGAGAGAGTCCTTTCTTGAGAAAGCCAATAAACGACCTATTCTTTTTGCTAATATCTCTGAGACTCCGATTTATTGGTAAGGGTCTTCATGCCCCACACAAAAGGAAGACTCTAGGAGAGGGACACTACAATAATTTGAGCTTGTGTGTAATGTCCTTCTCCAGGGGCCTTCTTTCTTCCCCTTCAGGAGCCAAAATGCCTCCTCTCCCAGCTCAATTGCAACTCTGATCAGCCCAAGTTGGTGACTCAGGCTGTTTCACTCAAAGTCCAGCCTATACCAGATGTAGTTACAGATCTCTTCTCATATTTCACTGAGAAAAGAAAGTATCTGTGGGTCAGACCTAGCATTGGCAAATATATTTTGCTTTAATAAATTTCTGCATTCACCAAAGCCATTTTTGTTGTAAATGTACCTGTCAACCATCGCTGGAGGAGATGTTGCGGGTAATGCTTCTGTCATGTTCAGTTGGACGCATTGTTCTGTTGATAAAACCAAAGGATGGGTCTTGGCTGCTGGAGCAGGGAACACAAACCCCCCGATAGCCACCCAGAATGATAAGATGATTCCAGTCAGGAGGCCCCCTAAGGCACCCTTCAGGAAAGAAAAAGAAATTAGACATTGTAAAGCCATTGCACAGAATGAATGAAAATAAATATTGTTTAAAAATTGGTGAGTCTGGGAAGCTGGCTATAGTCTTGGACCTATCTCCTGGAAACAGTATATTTCCTCCCATTTCATCTCTCCTACCATCTACACAGTAATTTTACTTAAAAGCCAATTTGTTCTTCACTTAAAGCACCATGTTCACAGGTAAAGCCTTAACCATCTTAAACTGTAGAAAGAGGAGTGCCAACTTATCAGAATGACTATATCTCCTCCTGAGAAGGCTAAACTTCCTCTATTCCCAAGGAACAGACCTTCAGAAGCTGCCTTTTGGGGAGGATACACATCTACAAGCTGCATATACCACTCTCATTCCCCAGATATTCTTGTTAGTTGTTATTCTCATCTCTCTCATCGGCTGCCACTTTTTTGGCAAGAGTAAATCTACCCAATTCAATATAATTCATCAAACAATAAGTAGATGCTGTGTCCCAGGCATTGTACTGGTCATTTGGGCTACAATGACAAAATGAAACAGTGCCAGCCCCCAAAAAGATTACCTTCATGCAGATAAGTACAAACCAATACAAAGTAATTTCGTGAGGGAAAGTGAACAAACAACTTGAGAGAATGGGAATAGCCTGCTTGGTACTGTGTACCAAGCCCTGAGGTACAAAAAGAGGCAAGAAGCTCAAAGCCCTGTTCTCAAGGAGCTTAAAATCCAGAGATTCCTCAAGTTGGAGGTAAGGAAGAATATTCCAGACAAGAGACCATCCTCCAAAGTCAACTTTTAGAAATAGAATGAGCATCTCTTTAAAACTTTAAGAACCAAAGATTTTATGAGTATCCCAAGTCTTCACTAGATCAATCATTCATTTCTCTATGGGCTTTGGAAAGGACTTGCTTGACTCATGTTAGCTATTTAACCAAAAAAGCTACTCTACTCTCAGAGCCTACTGGACATCACCAGCCAGGCTCTCTCTGTCTAACTAAAGTTATTCATTATTCATTAGCCCTTGTAGCAATCAACATACAGGGTATTAAATCAACTTGAAGTGCCTTGGGTTGAAGGACGGGAGGGAGGACTCATTCCTTAGAGGTTAAACTAGACCTCCAAATTCCTCCCAGCCGTATGTCTATGATTTGTAGAATAAATTGACCAAGAGTAAGTGCCAAAACTCATCCATGTCATGAAAAAAAATAAGGCTATGATGCAATGCTTTAAAAAATTCTAATATGTTGCTAGACAACATAGAATGTTAGCTTACTTTCTCTTGCTGAAGATATCTTGCATTATTAGGTTCAAAACCCAACTTTCTCAACTTTCTATGTGACCTTTGGCAAATCGTTTAACTATTCTGTGTCATCTATCATGTGGAGGAAGTCGATTACCACATTGCCTGTCCAGAAGATAGGTACTTAATATTTTTTTTTTAATTTGGTTGGTTAAATGTCTAGATAGATCACCTATAATATCTCTTGCAAGACCTTCCTAGATATGCTGAGTTGTTAGCTCTTCTCTCTGTCTCTCTGTCTCTCTCTGTCTCTCTTTCTCTCTCTCTCTCTTCTCCATTGCTCTCTCCTGTTTCACCTGTCCCTCTCTCCCTATGTCTCCCCATTTTCCCCTTAATCTATCTCTTCTGCTCTTCCCCTCTCATTGCCCTTTCTCTTCTTTCTTCCTCCCTCCCCCAGCACTTAGAAGATGCTTACATGTCCTTAGTACAAGTAAGGCCATAGATAAATAGTTGTTGAATGGATTTGCAACACAACTTTGGAATACCCATCCTTTCTTTACACAGAATTGTAGGCTTCAACCTAAACAGTTTTGATTAAGGAAGTGGGGAGGGGCAAAGTAGGAGGGAAAGGGATTCCTATATTTGCCTATTTAAGGGAAATGATCTCTCAGTCCTAAAGAGATATCTTTCAGCTATGAGATAATGCTCGAGGCAAAGGGAAATAAGGAGAGGCAGCCAAGGAAGAAGTATTTTACAAGCAATTATCTGCTCTTACCTTCCAGTTGACAAAAGGAAATATAATTCCCAAAGTGAACAGGCCGAGCATGGGTCCCCCACACATGCCATGGATGCTCAGGGAAGCCTGAAGAAGAAAGGGCACAAAAACAAGGCACTGTAATCATGTCTCATCTGGACTTGGTCCTGACAGGATCCTTGGGGCATCCATTGCCCTTATACTCAAGGAAAGGGGAACAGTTCTAGTTTAATTTGTTTACCTATTCTGTACCCCTCCACCACACCTTACCCTCATGTATTTTCTGACCTTTTTCCCACCCTGAGAACCTCACTTTCTAATTTACTCATGCTGTTCTTCATGAATATCTTCCCCATCCCTGTCTATGCCTGTTAAAATCTAATCTATCTTTCAAGGTCATCTCTTTCATGAAATTTTCCCTGATTACTTAGCTACCTCAACTCTTCTAGTTGAAAAGAATCCTCACTTCACAGGTTTCTCTTATCACTGTGTAAGATCACAGAATCTAGAACTAGAAGAAACCTTAGAGATCCTTTGGTCCAATTCCCCACTTTCATTTTATAGATGTTCCAGTATCAGGATCAAGGAATTGAGATACTAGGCTAAGAGGAAGCTTAGAGAAGAAATGTTCACTTTATCAAGGTGTCTGAAGGGCTATTACAGGGAAGCAGAATTTAATTTAAACTTCTTAGACACTTAGGGAAGATCTAGGAACAATGTATTGCAAATTGTATAGAAACACATTGAGATAAGGAAAAGTGTCATCATCCTTAGAGTTATACAAAGTGGAGTGGGCCACCACTGGAGGCCATGGATTCTCCCCATCACCAGACATCTTCAAGCGGAAGCTGAATGGGCACCTGTCTTATTAGTTGGAGAGGGGATTCTGGTTCTAGTTGTATATATTAGACAAGATGGCCTCTCATCTTTCAGATTCCATGATTCTACAAGATGATCAAAGGTCTCTTCCAGGTGGAGAATCCTTATCCACCAAGATGTGTTACTAAATCCGCTTCTGTTCAGAGTTCATTTTGAGAAAAATAAACAACTCAGGTGTAGCTTTAAGGAACTGGTGGCTAACAGGACTGAAGGCGTCCTTTTCCCACAACTGATACTTAGTGAGACAACTCTTGCATTTTTTTTCTTTCTGATTGATTGGATTAATTCAAAACTCCTTTTGTTATTGTATAGCCGGGGAAGTTAATTTACTAACTTCCAATTTACTGTACCTGGAGAATTCAGGAAGTTGGTAAAGCAGTTTGGTATACCTGGTGGAAAAATGTGGTGAAGCATCAATCAATCATTCTAGAAAAAGTATCCATCCTCTGGGAAATGGAGGAGGCCAGTGTTCCAGCTTTAAAATACTCATGCAGGATTTAAAGTCCTTTGTTATATTTGTGGTTTATCCCTTATGGAAGCATCTACAGATTTCTTTTAAATCTCAGAATAATATAATGGCTAACATTTACAGAGTGCTTCAAGGTTTGCAAAGACCCTTACATAATATCTGTCACTGGATCTTTCTAACAATTCTTCGAGGTCTGCTATTATCATCTCTGCTTTATAGAGGAGCGACTTGCCTAGAGTCACACAGATCATAAAGGTCTGAGGCAAGACTCCAAGTCCAATACCCTAGCCATTGTGCCACCTAGCTGCCTCAGCGAGAAGCCTTGAAGGTTATCTAGTCCAACCATCATCACCATCATCCAATACCGTCCAATACCTAATGGATAACTCGAACATCTCAGGAAAGGGACATTGGCTACACCTGAGCCCTGGATAGCCCGCGTCATCACATCTTATGCTGATCTTGAGTCTGAGAAATGAATGAGGATAGACAGAGGCCATGGAGAAGGAAGTGACAAATTTCTCCAGTCCCTTTGCTGAGAAATCCCAGTAAAAGTATGGTCCAGTGTCATGAAGAGCTGGGCATGACCAAACAATAAGAGAGAGGGCAAGAAGACTGAAGATGCTATAACTTCTGTAAGAAAGTCAGCATTGAGAGGTAACGAGGGGCAAACAAAAAACTGCTGAGTTTCTGCTTCTGCCTTTCAGCATGCCTCGGGTCATGAATCATTCCTTAAGCATGAAGCTTATGGAAATACTTTGAAAAACAGTCTGGGTGGGGCATTCGTAGGGCACTCCTTTTTTTTAAGTGTACTTGAAAGAAGCAATTCCACTTCACTCCGAGGGTAAAAGTGAGGGGCAATTTTGAGGTGAAATCAAACATCCACACTGGAGGCTTTGATGCTCCTTTAAGAACTGGACATATTTGAATATGATATCAAGGTACCTAATGTACCTCATTACCAGATTGGGCATTCCATCATTTGGAAGGCTGATGGTTATTTTAGTCTGTTTTTAATTCATTTAAACCAATTTACTATCCCAGATTCTTTGGTATTTTGCACTGGGAGAATGGCCTGCTCTAATGGAGGTAACTTGAAGAATATGTGAATACAGAAAGACAGAGTGGTTTAGACAAGAGAGCTGGCCTGGATTGGAATCCTGCCCCAGACACATTAAACAATCCCGGGAAAGTCGTTTAAATTCTCAGTGCCCATTCACTGAATCTCTTTAATACTATAAACTGCTCAATACTTGCCAGTCTGTAGTGATAGAGGCTGTTTCCTCTCTGGGGAGTTCCCAGCACTAGTGAAAGCACAAGTTGTGATTCCCAACCCACCCACCCCCACCCACACCCCTTGCAAAAATAAATAAATAAATAAATAAATACATGAATACAAGAAGAGCTTGTGGATTCTTTAGTGGGGAAAATGATGTGTGTTGGGGCTGGGGGTGGGGTCAGCATGGGAGGGGAGAAAATGATTCCAATTATCTGAACTCTTTCCACCAGCAGAGTTGTAGTCACCAACTGCCTATGACTTGGTAGCTAAATCCTAAGGCCCAGTGATGTTAAGTGAGTTACTTCTGTTCACACAGCTAATGTCACAGTAAATGTCAGATGTGAGATTTGAACTCCTTGACTCCCAGCCTAGCACTCTACCTACCAGGTAACACTGCCTCTAAAATTGCTTAAGAAATTGGTATAACCATCCTATACAGGCTCTCCCAAACACACTTCTATGAAGAAGTCATAGTAACAAGAAAACGTCCCTATATCATCCCCATAAATTCAAAACACACATACACGATACCTGTACAACTGCTCCCAAGACAGATGCAGCAACGGCCATGGAGGTACAGAGGACTCCAAATAGCAAGCCTGAAAGAAAGAATGGTCACTTGGATCCATTCTGTGGCCTCGCCTCCCTGTGGGAGCCTGATATAAAGCAGACTCCCTAAAATACTCAACTTCAGAAAGAATCTCATTGAGAGCTGAACTACCCTCTGCAAACCACCTCAAAGCTAACAAAGCTTCAGAAGGGTCTTACCTAGAGTGAGCCTTTCCCTGTGTCAGAGTGGATTCTTGAGAATTAAACTCATGGACATTCTCTCTCTGACCAAACACTTAAGGAATGAGTAAGGGTAGAGAGAGGCCAAGCAGATACAGATCCTTGTAGTTTCCATGGGAAGCCACCATTTTGAAGTTGGATGGAACAACAAAAAAAAAAGATCCTGACATCTGACTCAGCCTCTCAAAGCCATGTGGCCTAGGGCAAACTATCTTTCTCTTGGTCTCTGTTGTTTTATCTTCATAGTAGGGGTAATACATATCCTGACACACACACACACACCCCCCTCAATTGCTAGAATCTTCCCTCCCATGCTTTCCAATTAACTGCTTTGTATGCATATATATAAACTAAATTTGAGCCATATATAAATATATATGTATAAATGTACTTGTTGGACCCCCTCTATAGAATATAAACTCACTGATAACAGGAATTATTTCATTCTTTGTATTTGCATCCCCAAATCTTAGCTCAGAGCCTGGTATGTAGTAGTCACTTAATAAATGCATTTTGATTATTGGATATCATTCCTACTTTATAGGGTTATTTTGAGGATCAGATCAGACAATCAGTGTGGACCTGAATATCATATGTTCTTAGAGGCACTTATTAATATATACATTATCCATATGATATATATTAATATATATGTACACGTGTGTGTACATGTGTGTGTGCATATACATACATGTATATATACATCTGTGTGTAGATCTATAGATACATATGGACAAATAACTATTTGAATATAGCAGCTTGGCACAGTGCCTTGGTCAAAGTAGACCCTGAATAAAAGCTTGTTGCATTGAAGGGCTTCACCAATGTATAGTATTTATGTGATTCTTGACACTGTCCAATGACCATTTTGGTGATGGTAGGGAAAGGTATATTTCATAGGATCATGACTTTTAAAGCTGGAAGGAACCTTAGAGATGTTAGATTTCTGACAAAAAAAAAATTCCCCATGTAAATACAAAGTTCCTATCTTTAACACTCCAGTTTTAGGGAAAATAGTGAGATGGAGGGAAGAAGGGAGGTTCAAGTAAGTTTCTCCCTAACCATCCTGTTTCTACCTAAATATCCATTCCCAACTACCAATCTCTGATGAGAATATGCTAGAAGTGACCTTAGAGGCCATATGATCCAGCCGCTGCTCCCCCCATTTTACATAGGGAGAAACTGAGGCCCAGGGAAGTGAATTTACTTTGTCACACAAATAGGAGAGCTTGGAATCATACCCAAACCTCCTGACTCTACACTAAATGTTCTTTCTACTCTAGCACACTGCCTCTCCCTGGCTATTTTTTCCAGGTATATAGTAGCTCCGTGTGCACATGTGTGTGTGTGCCCATGTCTGTCTGTGATTCTATATTCTAAGCCCCATCATAGAGATGGGAAGCCTTCAAAATAAACTCAAGGTCAAGTTAAGAGAAAGTACAGAACAAGAGTCCCATCTACTGTACCCACATAGGCCTTTACTGATCCACGTGCCCATCTTGTCCGAGAGGTTGGGAAAGCAGCCTTTGACGAAATCCTCAAAAGTCACTGTTGCTAAGGCATTGATGCTGGCAGCCACTGTGCTGGAGGGAGAGAGAACAGAAGCCCATGAGTCCCATGACACAGACTCCCCATCTCTCCATGGAACCTACGGGCCGGGCAGGTCAGTGAGATGGCGTCAATTCCAAAAGACTCAAACGGGATTGTCAAGGCACCTGTGGTCGGGGCAACTATGGGGTACAGGGAGACCTGAGTTCAAATGTGGTCCCAGACACTTAGTAGCTGTGTGACCCTGGACAAGTCACTTAATCCTATTTGTCTCCCCTTCCTTAGCTTTAAAATGAGCAGGAGAAGGAAATGACAAACGAGTCCAGTATCTTTGCCAAGAAAACCTCAAATGGGGTCAACAAGAGTCAGACATGACGGAAATGACTCCTTTCCAGGGCTTTTTTTTTTTAAACTCTAATCCTCAGTCTAGACCTTAGTTAGGTATTAATAGCCTTAATGGCCTTTTTTTTTTTAATACTTGCAAATCTTCCTTTCTAGAAAAGGAGAATGTTCAGGTCATCTGAAGACAGCAGCAGCTGCAATAGCTGTTACAACCACAAGAATGGCATTGTGGTGATCCTTTGCACTTTGCAAGTGACTGATAAATGATTGTTAAATGGAATTAAATTCTTTCAGGAATTAGGGCCCAGCATCTGATCCTAGCCAACACCCTTTGGACGTATATTCTGATGAAATAGAAAAATAGGACAAAGTTGAATCTGTTTCCAGTGTCTATTTCTCTTGTCCACCTTGTCCAGAGAGTGGAAATATCAGAGTGCTCCCTTCAATCTAGTCCTAGGGTTCTTAATCTTTCTTGTGCCATAGACCCATTTGTCTGTCTGGCGAAGATCTCATGATCCTATGAAATATACCTTTCCCTACCATCAGCAATTATTTCTCAGAATAATCTTTTTAAAGGCATAAAATTACAAAGGAAACCAAAGGTTAATGAAAATTTGTAATTTTTCCTATCCAAGTTTACAACCCTCCTGAAATTTAACCATGCACCTGAGATTAAGAACCCGTGACCTAGTGTAAGGTGAGCAGAGAGGAGGAGGAGGAGGAAGAGGGGGAGGAAGAGAAGGAAGAAGGAAAAGGAGAAGGGGAGGAGGAAAAGAAAAAGACTTATTCTCCCAAACCTGGATGGTTCCAGAGAAACCTACTGGGAACAGGGAGCAAGGATATCAGTCTATGAGAAAAGAAAAAGCCAATAGTATAGATATTTACTGCCAATTATTTACACTCAGCATATTTGAACTTAATCCAGCTCCCCAAGGAGCAAGCTGGGGCTCCAGATATTTCAGGACCATCGCTAGCAATAAACCACTGGTTATGATTTCTAAAGGCTGTGCTCCTTGAGGTCATGGGCTGACTTTTACATCTTCCTGCCCAGCTCCTAGAATAGAGCCTGGCACATAGAAGGCAGATAATAGAAGTTTTTTGAATTAAATGCTAGCCTGTCATATCAAATTCAAGGCCTTCTACTTTGAACTTCCTCACTGAGCAATTATATAGGATTTCTAGCTGATTATGTAGCATTGAATCATACAGATCAGCCTTTGGTATCTACTTGCTGAGTGAAACAGTGGATGCAGTGCTAGACTCAGGATTCAGATTCAGGAAGGGCTAAGTGTGAATTCTGCCTCAGACATTGCCTAGTTGTGTGAACCTAAGCAAGACATTTAATCTCCCCCAGCCTCAGTTTCCTCCTCTGTAAAAGACCCTATGTCACTGAACTGTTCTAAGAATCAAACAAGATAACACATAAAGTGCTTTGCAAACCTTGAAGTGCTTCATAAAGGCTGGCTACTATGATTGTTAGGGTTGTTATTATTTCAGTATCAGAGCTTTTACAAGGAATGGGGTTGTCTTGGCTGCTTCTGGGAGGGCTGGAAATCATAATGCTAAGCTTTTTCCCTGCTAATAACAATTAATCTTTTTATTCTTTCTCTAAATGTCTAGGAGGCAAATTGTAATACATTCTCTTATGCAAAGTCCCACAGGCAAAAACAGACCCATTTGCAAATGGACCCGGATTTCTGCAAACTGGCTAGGAAGACCTGTTCAAGTGCCGGAGAAAGAATAATTACAGGACTAAAGAGCAATAAAGTTAAAGCAAATATAAATAAAAAATACTTTGGATACATTCCAAAGCAGTTCGTTAGAAAGCATTTGAGCAGATTAAAATATCTGCTCCTCCCAACATTGTTTTAACTTGGTAGGACTGGTTTTTTTTTAATTCATCTAGCCAAAATGGATGTAATAAGTGATTCACTTTCAAATTTGCTATTTTCAAACAATATTTTTAAAATACCCATTGCTTTCTTAGCTCTGAGGCAAGCTTTGTTCTACACTTGAACAGGTCTTATCTGCTGGGTCAGCCCATTTAGAAAAAGGCTTATGTGTACAACAGAGACATCACACAAAACCCTGTGATGGATGTGGGGATGTTAAAACATGATTTGTACTCACATGTCCGCATGGACTAATATTGTAACTTTATTCTTCTTCTCTGCTATGCCCTGTTCAGAAATGCTTTGAGTGGATTGGCTGTCCTTGGGAATAGCTCTAGGGGAACTTGCAGCCTCAAGGCCACATGTGGCCTTCTATGTCCTTGGGTGCAGCCTTTTGACTGAGGGCAAGATTTACAGAACAAATCCTTTTATCAAGGGGATTTGTTCTGTGAAGTTTGAATTCAGTCAAAGGGCCGCACAAAGGACCCCTGCTCTAGGTCAACTTCTGAGATAGGCAAAAAATCTGTCTTGGGTGACATTTAACCCCTGTTTCTCAATATCTGCCTCTTCCTGTGCTGGATATCCTTTATCCCCCAGAGCCTCACAATAACACTATGGAGGCTCATCCTATACAATGGTATAGGTTTGCATTTAAGATCATTAAGAATCAGAGCTGTAAGCATCCTTAAAAGCAAAATTTTTACAGAAAAGGAAATTGAGGCCTAGAAAGGTTAAGTTACTTGTCACTCAGGTAACAAAACCAAGATTTGAACCCAGATCCTGTGACTTCAAGTCTCTTTCTACAGAACTTCCCCCAACAAAACTTTTTTGTCCTGTGTTCCATTTTCTCTGTTTTTCAAGGTGACCAGTTGATACATGCTAAGTTATTAATTGAATTGAATTGGATTTTTTAAAAAGAATTATGAAGTGCCTCGCCCAGTACCCCATGTCTAGTAAGTTCATAAAAATATGTCTTGACCTACTTACTGACTGCCGATGCCTCACCCTATGCTAGGCTTGGACAATACAAATTTGCAAAGTAACAGTCCTTATCTTCAGGTACATGGATGAAAAATAATGGTCTTGATGCAGTACTTGGTTTCATTTTAACAGTAAAATTGACAAATATAGAATTTCAGGCCCCCTCATAGCATATCCTCCCACCCTTACCCCCAAGGCAGTTTATTATCCTAAATACTTCTGAGACCAGCCCAACAGGGCCATCTAAGCCCATATATTCAAGAGATGAGAAACTTCATTTTAAGAGAGAAGTTTCTTCCCACTATCTCTGATTTCAGGAGATGGAAATGCTCTACAAAGCCTAGATTGAAGTGCTATATAAAGGCCAGATTAGAGAGCTATAGAAAAGCTAGCTATTATTACTGTGGTGGTGGTAGTGGTAGTGGTAGTGTTGTGGTAGTGGTGGTGGTGGTGATGTTGGTGGTGGTGGGGGTGACTATTTCAGCATCAGAGCTGTTCACAGAAATGGGGTTGCCCAACAGCCCAGTGAGATAAGACTTTTATTAATTTCCTTATAGAGCAGGAAACCGAAGCTGAGGGATATGAATATTTTGCTTAGGTTCACATAGCTAGGAAATGCCTGAGGTAGAATTCAAACTTAGCATCTCTTCTCTGCTGATTTGCAGCTGGTTAACTTTTGTCCAACCACTGGTTTCCTGTACTTGTCTGTCATCTGATGTGAGACTGTCCCAGCAGGCAGCAGTGAGGATTCTATGAGCTCTATCCTGGCCCTGCTCCATGTTAGGGTAATGAACAAGAGGGTAGGCAGCCCTGTCCTTTGGGCACTGCTGCCAAGTTCTTCAATTTAGATTTCTGGCTGGCTCAATAAGGCAGAATTCTTTATCTCTGCAGACAGAGGGACTTGTTCACACAGGAGAAGTGGTAGCCTCTTCCAGCTTTCTGCTCCTTTGTTTGGGAAAACAGTCTCCTTCCCCAGAGTGTTTTAGGGGTGTAAACATTTTGCTGTCAATGTATACATTATGTTAGACTGCTATAAAAAGCACATTGGTCATTGCATTTCACAGTAGGGCCAGGGAAGAAGAAGAATTCTATTTCCTTACTTATCATTGATCAGAGCAACCAGTGGCTAGACTTTTTTTTAATGAAGATAACATTTGGACCCCTGACCCACACACAATCTTTTTTTTTTTCTTTTTTCTTTTTCTCCTTAAGACATCTTACTTCTTCAGAATAGAGAACTCCAAGGTTGGAAACCTAGTCTACTGATATGTATCAGAGAATAGAGTACTGGGCCTGGAATCATGAAGATTTGAGTTTAAATCTGGCCTCAGACACTAGTTCAGGGACCCTGGACAAGTCACTTAACCTCTGCCTCAGTTTCCTCAACTATAAAATGAGGATAATAATAGGACTTATCCCCCAAGTTTGTTATGAGGATAAAAATGAGATAATTTTTGTAAAGTACTAAGAACATAGTAGGTGTCATAAGATGCTAATTATTATTTTTGCATTATATAAATATATTTTACATCATCAGCATCATCATAATATTATCATTAGTTTTCTATCTACAGCTCCTCTATGAGTTATGATCTTAGACAGTGGTCTGAGGACATGGGAATTTAAAGGGTGTATACAAGGTCACATAACCAATATATGTCATGTTTACCTGACTCTACACTAGCCCTCTCCTCACTAGGCTGTATTAACTTTCACTACAGTAAATAATATTCAGGCAGCTTACCTCAGGGTTCCACTGAAGGCACATGCGACAAATAGGCCAGGGAGTCCAGGCATTGAAGGAAATATTTCCATTACAAAATATGGAAACAGCTAGAGAGAGGTTGGGGAAGGAAGGAGGGGATGATTAATTGTGTGACTTTACCAGTTGCCCAACCAATAGCAGCACCCACATAATTGCAGGAAGGAATTTGTGTCTCATTCTGCTCCAGGAGTCTACCGCCTTACAGGAAGTGGGTGGCAGGATTCATGATCAGTCCTCTGGATCATGGCTGGGCATTGCTCACTCTTAAGTCATTGCGATGTTGCTGTTTTATATAAAATGTTCTCCTAGCTCTGCTCTCTTCACTCTATGTCATTTTACATAAGTTCCAGGTTCCTCTGAAATTGTCCTTTTCATTATTTCTTCTAGCACGATGGTATGCCAGTCCCCAGCTGATGGATACTAAAAGGATAATGCTGACTTCACATGTGTAGATAGCAGCTCTTCTATGAATACAAGGTAGTTTTAGCAAGGGGGCATTTGCAGCTGGAGATGGGCAGAGAGAAATCAAAATTTCTGAGTGTCCTAGGCAACTTTTTTTTATTGTTGGGTTCTTTTTTTTGGGGGGGGGCAATCAGAGTTAAGTGACTTGCCCAGGATCACACAGCTAGTAAGTGTCTGAGGCCAGATTTGAACAGATCCTCCTGACTCCAGGGCTGATGTTCTATCCACTGCCACCCAGCTACCCCTCCAGGCAACTTTCTAAGGCTCTACATTGAATGGCCTTTAAACAATCTAGTATTGTGTCCATTCCATGATGAAGATCTTCAGAGGAAGACTATAGTGGAGGAAGCTTAGTAGTAAGTCTCAAAAAAATTTGATAATTGCATTACAATATAATTGGTTTCCATTGTACTCTATGTATTTTATGCATTTAGAGGCAGCCAGGTGGTTCAGTTAATAGAGCAATGGACCTGCAGTCAGGAAGACGTGACTTTGAATCCAGCCTCAGACATTTACTAGCAGTGTGAGCCAGGGTAAATCACTTGGCCTCAGGATGTCTCAGTTTCCTCACTTGTAAAATAGTGAAATAATAGTACCCACCTCCCGGGGCTGTCAGAGGATAAAATGAAATCATATTGTAAAGTGCTTTGCAAACTTTAAAACATTCTGAGAAGAGGTCCACTGGATTTTATCAGGGCTGCTGAAGGAGTCCACAATTCACAAAGGATTAAGAACACCTGCTTTAAAATGATTCAGACTAAAGTCTTCTGTGAACTGCTAGAGAAATAGGAAAATAACATACATAACTTCAATAATTTAAAGAGAGAGAATTTTTTAAAAAACCCACAAAGCTGAATGGCATGTCATTGTATATACCAAGCTTGGTCCTATAGAAGAGGAAGAAGAAGAAGAAGAAGAAGAAGAAGAAGAAGAAGAAGAAGAAGAAGAAGAAGGAGGAGGAGGAGGAGGAGGAGGGAGGAGGAGGAGGAGGAGGAGGAGGAGGAGGAGGAGGAGTAAGAAAAGGAAGAAGATGATGATTTATATAGTGCCTATTGTGTGGTGGGCACTGGGCTAAGCACTTTATAAATATGTCTCATTTGATCCTCCCAACAACTCTGGTAGGTAGGTGCTATCTATTATCCCCATTTTATAGGGGAGGAAACTGAGGCAGAGGCTAAATGACTTGCCCAGGGTCACACAACTGGTAAGTGTCTGAGGTTAGATTTGAACTCAGGACTTCCTGATTCCAGATGGCAGCACTCTATTCACACTGTACCACCTAGCTGTCTCAGACAAAGGGAAAAGCATATCCTTCCTTCCTACATGGTAGAGGTGGGAGATTATGGTTTAGAACAATATGTATTCTATTAAATTCAGTTGTTGTATTGGCTAGTTTTGCTGACCTGCTTTTTCCTTTCTTACTTTCTTTCTTTCTTTCTTTCTTTCTTTCTTTCTTTCTTTCTTTCTTTCTTTCTTTCTTTCTTTCTTTCTTTCTTTCTTTCTCTCTTCTCTCTCTCTCTCTCTCTCTCTCTCTCTCTTTCTTTCTTTCTTTCTTTTTCTTCCTTCCTTCCTTCCTTCCTTCCTTTATTTTTCTTGCTACAAGGGGCAGTTTTGCAGCTAGGAAAGCACTTATTTGAAATGAAATTGATGTAAAACAAAAGATATGAATAAAAATTTTAAAGACTCAAGTGGCTGACATTTTTCTTTTCTTTTTTTTTTGTTCTTTTTGGTGAGGAAATTGGGGTTGACTTGCCCAGGGTCACATACCTAGTAAGTGTGTCAAGTGTCTGAGGCTGGATTTGATCTCAGGTCCTCCTGACTCCAAGGCCGGAGCTCTATACACTATGCCACCCAGCCGCCCCTTGACATTTTCCCCAGACATACCTCTCCCCAACAGACAGCATAAACAACTGCGGAGCTCATAAATCACAGAATTTAAGAGCTAGGTGTCATCTTAGAGATAGTCAAGTCTGATTGCTTCATTTTACATATGAGGAAACTGAGGCTGGAGGAGAACAGGTACCTTGCCAAAAGTCACAGGATAAGTCAACGGCAGAGTTTCTACTGGAGCCATCATCTTGAGGCTTTAGGACAAAGGTCCTTCTGTTAGACCATGCTACCCTTTCCTGATTTTCATGTCTTTTGTGGCTCACTTAGAAATGAGCTACAAACCCACCCCATCTGGTCCCTGCTGGCCACCCACCTTGTTGGCATCCGTACCTGATCTGGTGCTGAGATTATGCCAGCGGTCCAGGGGTCACAGTTCTTGAAGTAAGAATACATGATCAGGCCTGAAAAGACTGCGCAGAACAGAATTATCCAGAGACCAACTAAGTTAAGATAAAGAGCACTGGAAGAGAGAAGATGAGAGACCTGTTAGTATCCCTTATAATGGAGTCCATTCTCATGGGGCTGGTGTGAGGATCAAATAAGATAACGTACATCTAAAAACACTTAGTAACCTGTAGAGCACTATTCACCAGACGCTGGCTACGAATCACACACGCAGAAACGTGTCTGGTTCTGGGCACTATCTTTCACGAAAAACATTGGTAAGGTCAATTATACCCAGAAGTGAATCACCAGGAAGGGAAGAAGCTCTAAACCAATGTCATTTCAGAAATGGATGGAGCATTTTTTTTAACTGGAGAAAAGAACATCTAGGAAAGATAATAGCTATGTTTAAATATTTGACAGCTCTCATGTATAAGAAATATTAGATTTGTTTTGCTTGCCTCTGGCATACTGAACCAGAACCAGTCTCTGGAAATTATATAGAGATGAAGTTCAGCTAAATATAAGGAACACTCTTCTAGTAATTAAATAATAACAATATAAGTATTAATATAATGATATAGAATTATAATTATATAAATATAATTAAAGTTTTAAAAATAATATTAAAATAAATAATTAAAATTGTTCAAAAGTGGAATGAGATGTCTTATTGGAATGAAAGGATCCCATCATTGGAGATCATACAATTTCAGTCAGAAGGGAGTTCAGAGGTCATCTAGTCTAACCTCCACCTGAAATAGGAGCACTTCCTTAACAAGTGGTCATCCATCTGCTACCTAAAGGAAATAGATTTTTCCCTCTAGGTGAGCACTTCATTTATGACCTTTAGAACCAGTCTCATATAGATTAAATGTTACTTTAAAAAACCAATCTCTTAGGTATTATGAAAATCCCTTTGTGGAGTTTTGCTGGATAAGATAATGCTTCAAAGAAGTCAGGTACTGAAGAATGAGGCTTAGAAATGTTTTTCTGTTTGTTTTAGAATTAGGATGAGGAAGAAGGGGGTAGAAGGACTAGTGATAGGAGAAGAAGAGAAAGAAGGAGAAGAACAGGAGGAGGAGGAACAATAAGAGAAGAGGAAGGGGGTAAGATCTTCCTAACCGTAATACTAGACAAATCCAAATTGTGAAAAATTCAGATTCACCAAACAAATAACTCAGGATTATTTTTGCCGGAAAATTCTCTACCATTCAAATGTTTTCGGCACAGTTATCTTTTAAATAGAAAGTCCAATTAATGCATCCAAGATGTAATTTGATTAAACAAAAATCCACTTGAAACACAACTTTTCAGGAACACAGCATGTTGCATAAAGTGAAGTAGATCTTTAAAGAGATTTTTCTTAGAATGGTGTCAGTAACAGTGATAAATCTCAGGGTTTAACAGTGTCAAATCCTAATGTAATTTAGCCACCTTTAGTGTGTATAAAGTAATATATAAAGATGACTTGTTAGTTGTGTCTATGCCCTTGTGGTCTATATGATGAAGTTAATACTACAGCCTTGAAAAAAATATCAAGGTGGTCTCCCCTTATTACCTGTGTGACATTGAGCTAGTCACTTAAACTTTCTGGCCCTGAGTTTCCTAATCTGATGAGGAAATGGGGAAATTTCTGGACTAGATGTTTATAAGATCCCAAATCTATTATTCGATTACCCTCTGACCTAAAATTGAATTCCAGCTATGATACCTGCTACCTTTGTGACTTTGGGCAAATTTGTTAACCCCTCTGGGCCTCAGTTTCCTCACCTAAAATAAAAGGATTGAACCAGTGCTAGATCCCTCCTAGTCTAGATCTCAAATTCTGCAATCCTTTGATCATTGCTTCTGATGAGGTCATTAAAGGATGATCTGCTAAAAATCACTTCAGAAGTATGCTGTCAAATCAAAAGCTTATCAACTAAAAGGATATATACTAGATTCTAACAATTTCCCACTACACCTCAAGGACTCTTAATTCCTATTTCATTGGTATACCCATTGTCCCCTGATTATGTGTGACATGTCCATTTCTGACAACATTCTTTGCTGCCTTTCTTGAGGAGGGGAAGAAGGAGGGTCTACCCCCATCCTCAAAATCATCTAAGGCCTGCCCTTTAGAAAGCATATCAAGTTATACCCCCTTTGGTAAACTTTTACATCTGTCCTAGCCTAATTTCCCTTCCCCAAACTCCTGTCACCTGAAAATATCTCTGCTACTCTAGCAATTATTAAGTTACAATAAATCATAGCTTCACAGAACAATGGCACAAGAAGATCTATTCCAACCCTCTCATTTCCCAGAGGAGGAAACTGAGAAGTGTAGTCATACAGCCAGTAACTGGCAGAGCTAGTGCTCAAACATCAGTTTTGATTTTAATCCCACTATCATTTAATAAGTAGTTTAATCACTTATTTTTAATTTAATCATTTAATTTATATTTATATTTTTATTTATTTATTATTTATGTATTAAATATGTATATATTTATAAACTAAATTAATAAGTAATTTAAGTAAATTTATATATATATATATATATATATATATATATATATATATATATACACACATACACATACATACAGGCATATATATGTATATATATTTCTATGTCTATATCCTAGGTGCTAGTAACATACATACAAAAACAAAATGGTCCCTGCCCTTAAGGAGCTCCTAACGGTTTATTGCTGTTTCCATATGATCCATCTCTTCACCCTCATTGGAAGAAGCTCTTAGATCTCACAGAGAAAGTCTCATGCCTGAACACTTGGCTTGTGTAAAGAAGGTATTTAATATGTACATACACTCAGGCATATAGTAGGTGTTCAATAAATGCGTTGTAATGATGTTAATGATAACAATGATGAAGACCAACTTACACCTTAGCATGCTTTTCTGTCTTGCAAGAGATGCATCTCTGTATCGTGGATTGATTAACACCATAGATGCCTAACCATGTAAAGGTTCCTCCAACAGAAATTGTCCAGAATGTATGCCTCCTCAATGGATCCACATCAAAGCTATGAGAGAGACATTCATAGATCAAGTCACGTTCCATGATTCCAAGATGATATTGTAAGCAATAAGGAAAGATAACCCAAAACAGAATAAAATCATATTATTCGTACCTGAATATTTCAAGTCGAGAGCCATTTTTTGATTGTTCTAATACATTCTGTAATCCGCCGCACGTATTGTTCCTTGTATGAGAACTGTCAAGAACCCTACCAGCATGACAACCATTTGAAATGTATCTGTCCACACAACTGCTTTTAATCCTCCCTGTAATGCATAGAATCCATGGTGAGTTCTTCAAAACAAAGTTGACAAGAGTCTTCAGTTTATTCCCCCAGTCCTCTGCTCTAAAGTTCAAGAAGGCTTCATCTTATCAAGTACAGGATCATAAATGCAGAACTGGAAGAGTCCTTAAGAGGCAATCTCATCCAAATTCTTCATTTTACAGATGAGGGAAGTGAAGCCCAGAGAGGTTAAGTGTCTCAATGACCAAGCAGCATTTGAAACCAGACCTTTGACTCCAAATCCAGTGGCCTTTCCATCATATCATATCCCCTTACACTTGAATCCTTATATTATCTTTCCACAGTCTTCTTCTTGTCATTGTCTCCTGTATTTTGCCAGTTAAGATGCATAATGCAGATAAGACTCAAATGAGTCCCACTGAGACTCCTAGAATGTTAGAGCTGAAAGGGAATTTACTTTTCCATGTATAAAATGAGGGGCTTAGACTAACTGGCTTTGGAGCCCCAAGAGGGTTGGACTTCCTTTCAAAGCATGACTGTCTAGATAATGGTAAAATATCTGACTCATTCAACTAGGTCTGATAAAGACTCAATCATTCAGATGTTTTGCCTGTACTTTCCCAGAAAGCCAGCATAACCAGTTTTGAAACAACAACCTCCGTGATGTTCATACTAGTAATCATGTAGCTAATAACTCTATAACTTTCTAGACTATTATCACATAGAAATGATGAGCATTTGTCCTCCATTGTGGTTGATAACAAAAGAAAGGGTTTAAATTGCAGTGAGAGATATTTACATTAGTCAAACTCAAATGTTTATTGAGTTGAATTGAATCAAGTTAGATTTGATTCCACAGAGAAATACAACTTTAAAATTACCATTGACTTAGTAGATGGATATAATCAAATGTTTCAAATTGGAACTCTGAAACTAAAATAAATTCAACACATATTCCAGTAAGTACCTACTATGCATAAGTGCCTTGCAAAGAAGCACCAGAGGAATCAGTAGGAAATTGACATTTTTTCTTGATCTCTTGGATGGATGGCTGATTGGTTTGGGGTAGTGGTAAAAGATATACTGAATGGAAAAGAGAGGATTAGGAGGTGGGCAAGAGACAGATCAAGAAGAAATGGGTAGTAAGACAGATGTAGGCTCCATGTGAGGAAAACTTTCTAAGTGAATTTCCAAAAAGTAGAATGAACTCCTTTAGGACTTGATGTTTCCCCCTTCTGGAGATCTTCAAGCAATGATTTGACTGACCACTTGTTTGGGATATTGTAGGTAGTACAGTGGACCAAGCCCTGGACCTAGAATCTGGAGAACCTGAGTTCAAATCCAGTCTCACATACTTTCTAGCTGTATGACCCTGAACAAATCACTTAACCTCTATTTGCCCCAGTTTCATCAACTATAAAATGAGGATAATAATAGTACCTAGCTCCCAGAGTGGGCAGCTAGGCAGTACAGTGGGTGGAACACTGCACTTGGAATCAGGAAGACTCATCTTCATGAGTTCAAATCTGGTTGTGTGACCCTGACCAAGTCACTTAACTCTGTTTACCTCAGTTTTCTCATCTATAAAATGATCTGGAGAAGGAAATGGCAAACTACTCCAGTATGGGAGTCCCAAATTGGGTCACATAGAATCAGACACAAATGAAATGACTGAATGACAACAATCACCTTCCGGGGTTGCTATGAGGCTCAAATGAGATATTTGTAAAGCACTTAGCACGGTTCCTGGCACGTAGCAGGAACTTAAAAAATGTTTGTTAGCTCCCTCTCATCTCATTTGATAATCACAATAACCTTGTAAAATAGGTGCTCTTATCACCTCCACTTTTGTAAATGAATATTCTGTGACAGCAAAAAGTTAAGTGACTTGCCTAGGGTCATAGTGCTAGCAAGTATCTGAGGTCCAATCTGATCTCAGGTCTTCTTGACTCTGAGTTCAGCCTGCTATGCACTATATTATCTAGTTGCCTTAAGGAGGTGGCCCCTGAGTTGAGCCTTGAAGGCAAATAAAGAATTTTATTCTAGTACTGGAAGAAGGAGAAGAGCAAATTCCAGCAGAGAGCCATATTGAAAAGCTGCAGAATTTGTCTGCCTTGCTAGTATATATGAAGTGTGGTTTCAGCCATACCTAGTTTCTATAACTGGAAGAGGGGTGATCCAGGGCATAAAGAATGTCGGTATGACACAGGGAAGCAAAAGCAAAAGGCCTGGAAAACAGTTGCCATATTCTGGGACACAGTGAAGAAACAGGCTTTATGGGGGCACAGGGTTTGTGCTGGTGAATCAGAGGACATGATGAGATTAGTTAGGTTGGCAAAGATGATGGCCAACCTTAAACTTCATACTGAAGAATTTTAATTTCATCATATATACAGTGAGAAATCATTGGAAGGGCTCTTGTTTTTGAACCAAAGAAAGACATAATGACATAGATTACTTAGAAATTTTATCTAGCTTTGTTGTTTAATGGATCGAGCTTAGTGAGGGTGAAAGCAATGCAGCCTCGCTGGAAAGCTATTTCAGTAGGCCTGGTATGAGGCTATGAGGATCTGGGCAAGAGTGATGACAATGGGGATGAAAAGAAGAGAAATATGTCTGAAAGACATTTCAAAGCAATTCTCAATGCTGAAAAGATGAAAGGGAAACCTGGGATAATTTGCTGTATTTAAAATGCATATTATATGCCATGCCTAGTAACAATATCATATATTGGGCACCTGTTGAGTGATAATACATAAAAAGATTCATCATCTAGAGACAGTTGTCTGTGTCCACGCATTCCAAACTACTTACTCATATTTCTTACCCATGTCCATTTGCTTCTCTAGGAAAATAATATCACAGTTAATTGTTAACATTTATCTAAACATATTGTCAATACCCCAGAATCTGAGGCTAAAGAATTGAGTGAGGGCAGATCACTCATTTTTATTGATCAGCAGCCAACAGTAGTATTCAAGTCCTGGAATTGATGGTCTTTAGAATTAACCAAATACCTGCCATCTTCTTCACATATACAACTTCTCTCTTAACAAAGAGCCAGTTGGAAGAGGCCATTTTTCTTAGGCAGTGTAAGTGTTGTCTATGGGTGAATGTGGCTAATGATTGGGAAAAAAAAAATCCCTTTTCTCTTCACTCCCCTCCCCCATAAAAGCAGGTATCACCAGAATGACACAGTACCATAGCCTGGGAAAACTTTTCCATTGGTAAATCTATTTGTCATGATATTCTAGAATCAATTCCAGTTTATACCTTGCTTACTTTAGAGGTGTCAATAAAAATACATTTGAAGAAAAAAATATTCATAATTTAGAAAATATAAACAGTCGAGACAGCTTTTTTCTTTTTCACATAACTTTGAAATACAGTCATTTACTCCCTAGAATTAGAGTTCTGCCAGTTGTGATTTGGCAGTATTCTATCTTAGGCTGGCAAAGCTTTCTCTGAGCAGAACATACGTACCAGAGTACAATAGAACGTGCAGACAATTCCTGTGGCAAACACAGATCCCCAGAGATCAAAGCCAGTCACTGTGAAAGGTAAGAAAAGTTATAAGAGGTTTCTCTAAGGAAGGCAGGCAGAGTACTTTCCAGAGAAACTGAGGCAGAAGAGGGTTCACCTGATTTGAAGGGAGTAAATCTAGTTATAGGCTCCCTTAGGAAACTAACTTCCATCAGGTATGGAGCATTTGTCTTACTATAACTTACCACAATGCAGTCCTGAAATCCCATAAGACTTAGAAGAGATTTTCTTAGATTTTACATCTTTCTGTCTTTGGTCTCAACATGCCCCCTTAAGTAGCAGAGTTATACCATAATTTTGTTGTTCAATCATTTTAATTGCGTCTGACTCTTCATGACCCCATTTGGGGTTTTCTTGGCAGAGATATTAGAGTGGTTTGCCATTTTCTTCTCCAGCTATATTTTATAGATGAGGAAACTGAGGCAAAGTGAGTTAAGTGACTTGCCCAGGGTCACACAGCTAATAAATGTCTTAGGCAAGAGTTGAATTCAGGAAGATGAGTCTTCCTGACTTCCAGGCCTGGCACTCTAACTGCTCTGCTACCCAGCTGCCCATATACCATAATGTTAAAATCATTCAAATCTTTGGTAAGAAATGCTGCCATTTTCAATGCTTTTTAACAATTGAATAAAATAATGGGGTTAATCAATAACCCTTGATTTTTTTCCCCCAACTTCAAAGACCTGTGGTTTCATTGGTGTGGGCACTACCTTCACTAATACCCATAACAATCTCTCCATCATTGATGGCCTACAGGAGTTTCTGGAGGCAAAAAATTCAGCACCCGGTATAGCCTTCTGATGATGAAGCCACTACTAAGCTAGCCTGGACTTTGGACATTAGACATATAAGCAAGCCATTGCCAGGCCTGGACACAAAGCCTTTCTAACTTGGTATGATCTCTTTTGAATAGTTATTGATTGAATAACTGTTTCTACATAGATGAGTCCACATATCCATTGGCATACTGGAGAATCACTATGCTTTTGGAAAATAATAAATCCGAACAGAATATAATAAAGATTTTTGATCCTTCACTCATTAAAATTATAAATATATGCATGTGTGTGTGTGTGTGTGTGTGTGTGTGTGTGTGTGTGTATTTCTTTCTTCTAGGTCATTCTAACTCTAAAGCTGTGGGTTTATTGTTCAGTTTTTCAGTCATGTCCAACTCCACGTGACCCCATAGAGTTTGTCCATGGGGTTTTCTTGGCAAAGATACTAGAGTGGATTGCCATTTCCTTCTCCAATGTGCTCCCATTTTATAGATGAGGAACTGAAGCAAATAAGGATTAAGTGACTTACCCAGGGTCACACAGCTGGTAAGTCTCTGAGGCTGCATTTTAACTCAGAACTTCCTGACTCCAGGCCTGGTGCTCTATCTACTGCGCCACCTAACTGCCCCTAAAGCTGTGTGTACGTAATTCCAAAATTTTAGGTCGATTTTCATTCCGACTTGCTACAATCCAGTCCTAAAATCCCATAAGACTTAAGAACTAAGAGATGTGAACATAGTAACAACTATGGACACATTATTTGGAATCATATAGACAGAACAACTAGCAATGCACCTAAATTAGTTGTTCAAAGTGGTAGTCTGGGCCTCGACTCAAAAGCCTTCATCTATGGCAGCACTTAGCCTTAAGAATAGCCTATCAGCGCTATATGCATTTTGCACAAACCAGACAGAGGCTCATCTGAGATATTATTTTCCTCACAACTCACCTTGGTTGAGCGCCAAAGCAGGAGTATAAATCACCACTCCGGAATAGAGGATCTGAAGGAGAAGGAGGTGAGGAAGAGTTGCTTGGCAAAGAAGCTGTTGACTGGCTGGCTGGCTAGCTGCCTGCAAGCACGGAGTGTAGCCGCTTCAGCAGTCTACTGAGTCTCCCTCCTTCAGGGTGGCAGCACCCTTACCATAGTCTTGGCTGTTCAAAGCCAATGGGGTTAACAGGACATAACACAATACATGTGATGACTATAGACCACATGTCTTTCCTGCCCCCACTCGCCACCTCACAGGGAGGAGTTGGAAAATATCAGGAAATAAGGGACCCACAATAAGGAAGGGAGAAGTAATTAATCCATGGAAGAACTCAATGAAATTGGGCTGGCTGTTCCATGAATAGAACACTCCATTTCTCAGTCTGAAAGCATTCTCTCTGGCTGCTGCGGGGTCCCCCTGCCCCCCATGCCTGGAATGCTCTTCTTCCTCCCTCCCTGATTACAGCCAGGAGGCCATTGTCACTGGACCAAAAGATGACTGGAAAGGTAGGAAGGGGTCAAATTATTGTGGACTTTAAATACCAAGGAAGACACTGGAGTTTATTGATGGGGGTGGGATATATCGGACCTGAAAATCGTACAAGTGGCTGAATGGAAGGTGGACATTTCAAAATCTGGATAAGAGGCATTCTTTATGCATCATATGAATCATTAGGTTTATCTCTTACATATACATACATACATATATACTTATGGTACATTATTAGACTGAAGTCTTAGAAGACGGTTACTTGTTTGTAACCTCTGTAATGAATTTATAGACCATGAATGAAAAGGGATAAAATGAGTTGGTCCATGAACCATAGACTTGCTGCAGAGCAGTGAGGCAGAGCCAGGACAAAGCATCCGTGTAACCTTGGAAACCTTGAAAAAACTTTGCCCTCTTCCCACTCCCAATGAAAAGCTGAACTCAGCTTTGCTCTTTCAAGAGTAGGTTTATTATTGTTGTTCATTAACAACTCGGAGAATATGTTTTGAACATACGTGACTCCATGTGCCATATATTTGTTTGTTTGTTTCTTACCATTTGCTATTTCACTAATGCAGGGAGCTCCTTGGTGAAGACACTCCTACCAATGTCAATTGACTTGAACTACAATTAAGATTTTTAGAGCATTGTCTGGGGGGAATTGAGGCCTGAGTCCAAGGCCAGCTCATCATCCGCTATGACATATTGCCTTTCTATGTCTCCATGTGTCATATAGAGTGGGATGTTTTGGAACTGAAAATATGGGCAAAAAAAAAAGTCATATTCAAAGTGTTCTATGTCATGCCCTTGGCATCTGCCCACCTTTCCTACTTTTAGCTGTAGATCTATAGTCATGGATCTTTGTAAATTCTACCCATGTACCAAGAAGCTGACTTTATTTGCCAACCTAACTGGAATAATGGAATCTCACCACTCACTAGGGGCTGGGGAAAAAATATATTCCCATAAACATTCCCTCTTCACCTCCCTCCAGCACCCAGATCCCAAATTTGAAATGATTCTTACCATCTGCACTATGTAGATAAGAGTGGCAGCATACCGGACCACCTTGTTAAATCTTAAATGTAAGTACTAAAGGAAACAAAAAGAAAATATACAAAAAATCAACAATGCTTTAGCCAGAACTAACCTAGGAGCCAGTGTAGTATAACAGATCAACTACTGTGCTGAGATTTAAGAAGACCTGGGTTCAAATCGTACCTTGAGATATTTATCAGTTATACGACCCTGGCCATGACACAACTCCTTATTGCTAGCATTCCCTCTATATAGCTATAACCTTTATATGCCTCAGTTTCTTAAGTGCAAAATGAGTGAATTAGGCTTTCATTAACCATTAAAGTACCTTCCAACTTTACATCTATGATCTCATGAACCTAAGAATTACAGACTGTGAAAGTAAGAAATGACCTCAGAAGTCTTCTCATTCAACCCCTACCTGGATAGGAATATCCTTAATAAGAAGCCAGCTAACTTCAGCTTGAATACCTCCAGCAGTAGTTAACTCACTACCATCCAAGGCAGTCCATTTCATTTCTTTCTTTTTTTTAAAATCTGTTAACAACTTTTTCTTGATACTGAGCTAGCATTTGCTTCCATGCAACATCTCTTCATGTTTCTCTATGTATGGGATTTTCAGTCCAGTGGTGTTTTCCTTCTGTGTGTTTATTTCATGCTACAAAATCCATTTCTTCCTTTCTATTTCCATTGAGACGAGCCGTAATCAGATCTATCAGCTAGACTTAGGAGATCTTCCTTGTTGACCCTCCCTTCCCAGATCTTCCCCACCATTACATCCATCCAACACACTTAATGCCAAATTAATCTTCCTGAAACCCAGGTCGGACTAGATCACTACCATACTCAGAAACCTCCAATGGCCTTTCAATGAGCTGCAAAATGAATTCTAAACTCTGGTCTTTCTGATCTGTCCCCAGACTACTCTTCAGCCTTGACTTCCACTGCTCCAAAATGGGATTACTTGCTATGCTCTCCTTCCTGTTTGAGCTTGTGTTTTCCCTACATCTTTGAAGTTATTCCTCTTGCCTGGAATGCCTTTTCTCCCACCACCTCTTCCATGTAGACTTCCCTCATCTCCCCTGAAAGGTCTTGATCTCTCCTTTCTCTAGATTTCTCTGTTAGTTTCTCTATCCATCATAGTCACTTAGCTCATGTTGCTTTGTTTCAATTCTTTGTTTTTATCCCCTCCACCAGACTGTGAGGTTTGTGAAGGTACACACACACACACACACACACACACACACACACACACACACACCCAACATAAGTATGTTAAGAGAAACAATGAGAAGGAGTGTTGATTTGAAACAGTTGCACAAAAAAAAAAAGACTGGATTTGGGGTTGAAGGAACAGGAACCAGATTCCAGAGCTACTGTGTGACCTTGAACAAGTCAATGCCTCAGTTTCTTCCCCTGTAAAATGAGGTATTTGGAGGATAAAACACAGCTTGCAGGGGACTATAATGTCTTTCAGACTAGAGTGACTTATGGTAGGGTGGCAGGTGGGAGAAGATCATTGGTTGGATGGTCTTGGGAACAGGGGCTTTACATCTAATAGTCACTTAATACATTTTTGTCAATTGTATTGAACTGAACTCAATCCTTTCACCTTGGAATCCTATGAAAGGATCTGAAAGACCTTTGCACCCCAGCCCTTAAATCAACTGGCTTTTCTTCCATTCCAACAGAGGTTACAGATTCATGGGAGCTCAGGGACTTTAGGAATCTTTAATCCAATCTTTTCACATGCAGAAAATGAACCCAGAGAAACCAACCTGCCAACCAACTCCAAATTCATACCACCATCCGCCTTGAATTATCTTCCTAGCTTGTTTTCTTTTAAGGCCATTGAGGACTCTAGGCTCTCCTCTGAAATCCTTACTTCTCAGATTCACAACGATTATATTGTTGTAGAATGGTGTTCTTCATAAGACATGGAGCCAATCCCAAAGAAAAGAGAGGGGAATTGGGTCTGGAGTTTACTTTGACAGGGATAAGCAGTATTCCCTTCATTCAGGAGGTAGCATTTCAATTAAGTGTGGAAAAGACAGGAATTCAATAGAAGAAGGGAGGGAGGGCTGGTTTTTCAGGCATCAGACTAATGTCAGAAAAGGCAGAGAGAGTCTGGGTGCCATAAAGTTGTCCAGTTTGTCTAGAAAGCAGATAACATGAAAGCAATATGAACTAAAGCTAGAAAGGCAATATGGTGATAGACTGTAGAAAGCCTTGAAAGCCAGACAAAGAAGTTGGAGCTTTACTAAGTAAGCAATGGAGACTCAATGAATATTTTTGACCAAAAGTCTGACATGAGCAATTCTATTCATAGAAAAGGTGATTTTGGCAGCAAATGAATTGAAGAAAGGAGAGAGGGGAATAAGGAAGATCTGTTATGAGACTTTTCCATACACCAGATGGGTATTATTGAGGGACCTGAGCTAGGGTGGTAGAAGTGGGAATAGCATATAGAAGACATCAGGATGTTGCAGAGGAAGAATAAAAAGGCTTGGTAATGTTTCAGGTATGATGGGTAAGGGAGAGGAAAGAAGCAAGACTAACCCAAAGGTAACAAACAGCAAAGGCTAAGCAAATGGTGATATCACTCAGAAATTGTAAATCAAAAGAAAGAGCATATTCGAGGAGAAAGACAATATTTAAGGATATATTGACTTTTTCTTCTTTTTTAATTCCATGTGCATCATAGTGACTTCATATTATCCTCAATTTAGAGTTGGCAAGGACCCCAAAGGCCATCCATCTAGTGCAATGTCCTCCCTTGTTTTACAGATGAGGAAACTGAGGCTTAGGTAAGATGAATGACTTGCCCAAAGTCACACAGGTAGTTACCAGAGGCAGGATTTGAACCCTGGTCCTCTGACTCCCAGGTGTATGCTCTTTCCATTTTACCGTAATGCCTATTCAATCTAATTTAACAAATATTTATTAAGCCCCCTAACATGAACAAGGTGCAGCCTTAGGTACAAAAAATGCTATTGTTTCTACCCTTCATGGAGTTCATATTCTGTATATGTGGAAGCAGGGGTGAAGGGGAGATAGGGGGTGGGGAACACAATGTACAAATAAAATAAGAGAAGACAAAGTAATTTTAAGAGAAAGAGAGCATTAATGACTGGTCATGGGTGTGGCAAAGAAATTGGGAAAAGCTTTCTGTGCTTCTACACACCTGTGCTCAGCTTTGGAGGCACATTGAAGATTCAACCAGATAATGAGAAGGGGGGACATTCCACACCTGGGGGAAGGTCTGAGCAAAGTTTGGAATGCATTCTACAGTGTTATTTTATTTGATCCTCACAATAGATATAGTAGGGGTCTCTGTCAAAACATTAATCTACATGCACAATTAACAGTTTAGTTAAATTCAAGTGAATGTAGACCATTCTGTTAAAAATAGTCAAGTATTTTTGGCTGAATTGAGTGATCTGACTGGTCAGTTCGTTCATAGAATTAGCACCCCAGATTCACAGCTAGAAGAGACCCTTGAAAGCCATCTAGTCCAACCTCTTTATTTTTACCCATAAGGAAACTGAGGCCCAGAGAAGTTAAAAGGTTATACAAGCATTAAACGGCAGAACCAGGATTTAAACCTTGGCCTTTGACTCCAAATCCAGGACTCTATCCTACTGTTCTTCCTTTTCTAAGAGTATGGACATATGGTTACACCTCTCACCTTTTCCAACTTATCAAATGAAAAATTTGCATTTTAATGAGTACCCAAAGTGGAAGGAAGAATGTTATTATCACAGCTGATCAGTGAGGATGCTCCAACGTTCAATTCTTGAGTCACATTATATAGTTGTTATTTCTATTGTGAACTGCTGGAAAATCCATGGGAGAGTGTCCATTTTTACTTCTAAGTAACATAGGGAATTTTCCTATAAACCCTTACTTTACCTAAAATATCCTGTAACATTTCAAATATATGTGTGTATGTGTGTATGTGTGTTGCATGTATATTTGTTAGGAGAAAAAGAAATATTGAAGGCCTAATAATAAATCTGTGTTTGAAAAGAAATTCTGTATGTACAAAAAGAAGCTCAATAATAGAATTCTCCCAAAGTGGAATGAGCTGCATTGGCTCATGGATAGGCTCACTCTCATTGGAAATCCCCAAGCTCAGGCTAGACAAGTACTTGTTAGATACATTACAGAGTGAATTCTATTTCAGGTATAAGTTGGCCTCAATGGCTTCTAAGGCTCCTTCCATTTCCATGATTCCACATGAAATGCTCAGACCTTCATCAAAACATAGTCAAAACAATCCTGGGCTGGGTGAGCAAGAAGACAAGATTATCCTAGAGATTTAGTCCCTAACTACTTATGTGACCTTGGGCAAGTGACTTAGCTGTATCCCAGTTTCCCTACATGTAAAATGGAGATGAAGATCATTCTTATCTTGCCTTTCTCTTTGGGACCAAATGATATCTTCTAAAAACTGAACGGTCTTGACAAAACATATCGTCCCCTCCTCTAGCTGTTTGTGAGTTTGGAAAATTCAGTGTTTGGTGCAAATCTGGACCAGTACAAAGGACGTTCTGGAGCCAGCTCAACCTGGCTTAGGAGAACTGATTGTTAAATTCTCACTATGAACAATCACATCTTGGAAGTTGGCAAATGTGACAAATTAGCATTGTTCTGTTGTTTTGTTGATTATCTAGATTTAAGAAAATGATGGGGAAAATGTTAAAAGTGCAGATTAAACTTTCCAAAGAACCAGTTGCTAAACATTTGCCAATATACGCTGGGCCGGTACCCACTCCCACCCACCAAATCCAGAATATTGACACACAGGGACCAGATGAGGGGAAAGAAGTGAGAATGCCTTAAGAAGTTTATAGCACTAAGTTTAAGTACCGTGCAAATTCTTAGTACAAAAACTGTGTACGTTACTCATCCATCCACTCATTCAGTAAATATTTATTAAGCACCCTTCTATATGCAGGCATGGTTTGTGGGAATGTAGACCCACATGGAGGACTTGGCTGGCTGACATATTAGCAATTAATCCAGACATTCCAAATAATGATGACTTCCCTTACCTCATAAGTGCTAGTGATCCCAGACCTGTAAAAAACTGGCAGAAAGAGCTCAGATGTAAAGATGATGACGAATGTATACGCAAAGAAGAAAATCAGGAAGGATGCCCCAAATCGATAGACCTCAGCTGGAGTCCCCAGGACAGTGACTGCTGACATGAAGCTAGCAGTCAAGGACAAAGCCACCGGACCACAGCTCATTTGCTTGCCCCCTACTAAAAAATCCCTGGAAGTCACTTTCTTCCTTTCTTTTATGGCAAAGAATACTCCGATTCCTGAAGAAACGATAAAAAGAGCTGCAAATACAACATAATCCCAAACTTCAAAGTTCTTTGTCTGGGGACTTGCCTGCCCTGCTGACATGGTTCTGGGCAAATGTTTTCTCCGAGTTCAGTCCTTACAAAGAATATAGCGTCAGGGATGATGCCCACAAATTTAGTCTTTTGTCCAGGAGAAGGAACACTCAGACCTTAACAGTCACCAGGGTAGAGAAGCACTGAATGGAGCTCCGGGGGATACTCTTTGGATCAGGAAGCATTTCAGAAATGGAACGCAAAGCATATTTTAATCATTGTCATAGTCCAGGACAAGAACTTGAAATCTGACCTTAGCCTGGGGCTTTCAGTGCAGCCACTGAAGTACGTTCTTCTACAAACAAGAATTCAGATATTCAGAAATTAATAACCAACAGGGGTGGAATTAGGCTATGCAGATAACACACTCTTTTATCTCCCAGGTTTTACTGCAGGTTAAATATTACTTGGGAATATGGAAATGAGACTGTTAAGCAGTTCAGCATTCTAAATGTGTGTGGTGACATCTGCAAATAGGAAAAGACGTCATTTTGATGAATCTTTTCTCATAGGAAGAAACAACTGAAGCAGAGTCCTGAAAACAGCAAGGGACTCAGGATACTGAATAGAACATTTGCCCCAAGAGACTAGCAAAATTTTTAAAAATATAGATCAGAGGAAGAGAAAAATGTCTGAAAGAGCATATAATCCAGGAGTTCTTAACCAGGTAACCTGTGAACTTCACTTTGTTTTTCTTTTTAATTTTTGGCAACTGTGTCAACATAATTTTCTTTCCTTTCCATTCCTACGCATTTTAAGCACTTAAAAACATTATTCTGAGAAGGGGTCCAAAGGATTAGCCAGATAAATTTGTTGTGTCAGGGATTCCTTCAGCTGAGAACCTCCAAGGAAACAGTTCCTGACAAGGTCAGTTATCTGCCAAAGGTAATATAAAGCCAAGATTTAAACTCAGCCCATCTAACTCTAAATCCAGTATTCGCTTGTCACACAGCCTTCCAAATGAGAGTCATTGTTTACAGGTTCTCCTCAGGGACAGGACTACTCATTCTGTCTTTCAACTGCTTAGATATTTCTCTATCATCCCTTACTTATATATCTCATACCTCAGCTTTTTAGTCTATTAAGACATAGGGATTCTCCAGGTATCAGTTTCTTATGCTGATTTAGAACTGGAACTCATAGAAAGGTACAGCTGGGCAAACTTCCCTAGGAAATATTAATAGTCTGTGTCAATATCTGATTTTATCCATTTCTCTTTTTTTCTTTCAGCTTCAGCATTGATTAACCATCTCAAGTTAAAGTTGCCCCAGTAAAATGCCATATCTTCTCATTTGATCCTTTGTTCTAATTTGATGCAAATTTTAATGTTTCCTCCCCCAACTTAATGGCTGGATTATATTCAGACAACTAATTCAGTAATGACCCACCCACATGAGGATGAATTCCTATTTCATCAATACAATCAATTTTACTTTTTTATGTGATTTGGGGAGAGTGAGAGGCTCAGACTCTTGTGAAAAGAACACTATTGTTTATTTATTTTAAAATTTCCAAATTTTCTTTTTCCCTCCAGCCCTCCCCTCCCCATTAAGAAGGCAAGCAATGCAATGCCAATTAGATATGTGGCGTGCAAAACACATTTCCATATTTATCATATTGCAAAAAAAAAAGCAAGAATAATAAAGTGAAAAGGTATGTTTCAATCTGCAGTCAGGGTTTATCGCTTCTCTCTTTGGAGGTGAACATCGATTTTTATCATGTGTCTTTTGGAATTGTCTTAGCTAATTGTCTTGATCAGTCACCAAATCTTTAACAGTTAATTATCATTACAACATTGCTGTTACTGCATACAATGTTCCCCTGGCTCTGCTCACTTCACTTTGTATCTGTTCGTTTAAGTCTTTCCAGGTTTTTCTGAAACCATCTCCTTCATTCTTATTCTCTTCTTGACGAGAATATTTGTGATATATACTCATAAGGTTTCTGAATAGTCCATAAGGTTCTGGCCTCTCTCATGTCTTATTCCTGAACTATATTTCAACATAGTTGTTCACTGTCCTTCCTTATGCCTACTTTTGCATTGAAGTCACCAAGTATTAAAGCATATATTGACTTACTTTAGAGGCTCTTAACTTTCTTTGCCCCTTCATTCTGTGCAATTGATGTACAACATTGCCTATAGTTATGTCCATTTCTCTTTGCATGCAATTATCATGCAAATTGTAAAGCTATATGATCAGGGACCCCATGACATGATGTTTTGGGGGTTTTTTGCTGCATTTAGATACACAATAAAATCCACTCTTTTATTTGCCTTTCCAAGGAGAACCTGTAAGCCATCTTTCCATTTAGCTACATAAATTTTTTTTTTTATCTTCCGGTTTAATAAAAAGATATTGATGTGATTCAATGGATTAAGATCTCACATTTAGAATATCAAAAATTAAACAAATGTTTATGGGTAGTCTAATGTTTACTATCCTCTGTTACCTTTCCTGAAATTCTGTAACTACCATAATAGAAACAAATGGCCACCGTATGGGACTAAGAGCACATTTGTATTTTCCTTTAGCTCACAGGCAGCCATGGGCAAAGAATTCATCCATCAAGGGAGCAATCTATTGGTGATGAGCCTTACATACTTAACTGGACTGGTCCAGCTGAGACTGTATTTAAAGCCTTTTCAGTATGGTTAACCTTACCTGCATTTTGCTCCATTGGTATGGCTTTTGAAAACCCAGGGTGCTTAATATGTGAGTGAATAATAACAAATCACATCTAAATAGATCTTTAGAATTATAAAGGACTGCCTATGCTTTTTCTTATTTGGTTCTTCCAACATCCCCTTGAAGTATATAATGAAAATATTTCCATTTTGCAGATGAAGAAAATGAAATTAAGAGGCAGAATCTCAGAGTTAGAAAAGATCTCAGATGCCATCTTGGTCAACCCATACCTGATCACGAATCCCCTCAACAATGTTCCCAAGCCCTCTAGTGAGGAGAAGACATGGGAGCATAGATCAAGGGTCAGAAGGGACCTCCACAGCCTTCCAGTCCACCCTCCTCATTTTAAAGATGAGGAAACTGAGGCCCAAAGAGATTTAGTGACTTCCCCCAAGCCACCCATGGCAAACATCTGAAGTGGGAAAAGAAACTAAGTCCTCTGCCTCCAGAACCAGGGATTTTCCCACTGGACCACACTGTCTTCTATGGCAGTCCATTGCACTTTGGCATAGTTCCAAGCATTAGGAAGTTTTTCCTTATGCCAAGACTAAATAGGTCTCTTTATAGCCTCTGCTCAGAGAACAGATCTGCTCTGTGGGACTGAGCAGAGCAAGTATAATCCCTCTTCTATGTGACAAGTCCTCAGGTACTGGAAGACAGCTACCATGGCCATGCTGAGTCTTCTTTTCTCTGGGCAATCTAGTTTTAACGAGGTGTGATCCCCAGGACCTTCACCATTGTTATAATTCTTCTCTGAATGTTCTCTATCTTCTATCTTAGCCTTGACTCATATACTTATATTCTTTTCTGTTAGCCTGGGAAAGGAGTGTCTACCCTGGTGAGGGGTGATGTATTTTCTATATACTCAGGCTGAGTTTTGGTCTCTCTCTGTTCCACATGCCAAAAAGCAACTGGACCAAATTATTTGACTTTTTAAATGCTTGCTTTGGTAATCTAATAATACATTGGCAGAAAGGGATATCTAGACATTTTTTTTACCTAGCACCTTCATGAATAAAGGATAGCTGCCATGGTTCCCTGAGCCCTCAAGGTCTGGACTGGCCACATTTTTCTCTGTGTCACTTTCAAGTGTTCAAAAGGGTAGAATGATAGGCAGTTGAGGCTGGAGGGGGTCTTTGACTGTTAAAGTTGGAAAGATTCAAAGAACGTCAAGCACATATCAAGACATGAAGTACGTTGCCAAAGTCAATACCAACCAAGTCGGGGTATATGGGGTGTTCAGGGAGGATTAACACTTCTGGTGGGAGGGCTTGCTGAGCCCTTTTCAGGACTGCTCACCCACCTTTAGTGTCCACCGTCACCCAGCTCTCACTTGTGGCTCTAAGAAGCTACACCATGCTCAGCAGCCACACACTAATAAAACCTTCTCAGCAGATGGGCTAAACTAGGATGAGGGTAATTGACAGGCCTAAGATCCATCAGTGAGTTAGTGGGACGTACTACCCCAAGCATGTGATGACTTCCTCCAGCAGAATGGGTGGATGAGAACAATTCGTTCCAACAGCCATGAAGTTGGCTGAAGCAGGCGCCAAGGAATGCTTAGAGCTTGATCAGGTATCAAAGATACCATCTTGGGCCACTGCCAGTCATCTTGACTTTTGTCCTGCCACTGGACTTCAATAACTCTGAAAGAGAGAGTGAGGCTCATGACTTTACACAACTCTGCCTCACTTAAATCCAATCAAGCATAAGTCATCACCCTTGATATCATTGATCCTTTTTAAAAACAAAGAACTAACAATAACCAACCTAATGCCACAGCCAGAACCAGGTTCTGAACCAAGGGCTCCAAAATCCTAGTGTTATGTCTCCTTATTTTTTTTTAAATTCTGAACTTAAAATAAAATTAATATTTCCATATCCAAGAGAGAACAGAAAGAGAGGATTGTATAGAAAACTGAAGACCTCTATTATGTATAGATTGCTTTTGTCTGAAATATATAATAAATTCAATGTGTGACTTTCTAAGCTATCTTACTAGTCTATGGTTCCTTCCAGTCATCCTTCTATTCATTTCTGTATAATTTTTTTAAAAAGCTTCAATAAGTCTGCTCTTCCCCCCTTTTTTTTTCCTTTTTGACCACTATATTGCTTCCCTGTCATCCTATCCTTCCATTCCCTTCCCCTTTTACTTTACACTCTATGATGACAAATGTCAAGGTATTAAAGGCTCAGGTATAAAAGCAACAACTAAAAGTCTTGCTCTCATCAGATGAAGTAATCTGGAATTCAGAAAAATGTTCAGTGCTTTCTTAGTGACCTTTAGTTACTATTTCTTAAATAAGATAAAGAAACGCACTTTCACTTTATGATCCAAGCAATTGAAGAAAAAAGGATTCATTTACTTTTTTTTTTTTGGTGGGGGAGGTTTCTGTGTCATCTGCGTCAACTGCACTCATGAAAATATTCTAGTGGCTTCCCATTGCCCTCTAGGATAAAAAAATAAGCTCTCTGACAGATGATGGCTTTTGCAACCTGGCTCCAACCTTCTTTTCCAAGCTTATTGTGCATTGTTCCCTTCAAATGCTCCATGTTTCTGGCCAGCTAGCCTTTTGTCCCTTCACAAAGGGTGTCCCTTAAATTTGGAAGGTCCTTCCTCCTTTCCCCTTCCTCTTGAAATCTTTC